AAAAAAAAAACGAAAACTAAGTACCTGATGGTTCAGTGTACGGAACAGGATTCTGAAGAGCTGACGAAGATACATATAATCTGGTGCTTCATCAAAACGAAGTCCACGTGTATAATTCAGATACATGGGGAACTCTGCAGGGAAACCTTTGCACAACATCTCCACAGACGTTGACATTTTCTGCAAGATTACAATTTTTAAAACAGTTTAACATGCTAAGAGATTAAGCTCGATCAATTGTAATCTCGAATGAGTCGGAACATTCGGTGACCATATTTGATTATCCAACATTAGTATGTAAGGCCCACTCGCCCTCGACCACGTTTTCAAAAAAAAAAAATATATATATATATATATATTGTATATAAGCCGTAACCATTACGTTCCACAACATAGCATTGATTCCTATTAGAATGATGCCTCAAATTCCACCACAGTTCTGATTGCTTTCAATTTCTGGACAAATTTTCTAAGGAATTAGTGTAATTTTTAATGAGCAACCAAGTCAAATGCAGTCATTGAGTCAACAATCACAATACTAATACCACCACGATCACTGCTGATATAGATACAGAACATTTTCTAATTCAAGTGATACAGTCAGTTAATTTTTACCAATCACGCCAATGATAAATTCTAATCAATGATGATAACGGGGTCAAAAATTACCATCTTCGAAACGACTATCGAGAAAAGAACTTCGAGAGGCACCCATTACTCACTATCATTTGATTGTTAAGAATAAACTGAAGTTACATGTCCGGTGTTGTTGAGTAATGGAAAAGTCATTACCTACTTTTTTCAGAACAAAATTTGAAAACACTACATAAAGAACATAGATTCAATTCACTGCAATAAACGCCTTGAGGCGAGGTTCACACACAAACGATCTCAAGCACAGCTAAGAAGGAAAACACTATAAATTTCCCCTGATGACAACGCTGCACTAACACTTAAAAGAGTTTGAGCAAGACCATTTTCCAGATTAGTGTTATGTACTATCTGGCTGAATTGATCAAAAGTATGATCAAGATAAGTGATTCTAATAGCTTGCGCCAAATAAAGGCCAGTTATAAAACAAAGTTCAATCGATTCGCTTGCATTCTAAGAGTCTCCGATTAATCCCCATCTAAAAGCAATATCCACAAAATAATGCTTTGCAGTTGTGATTGTCTAAAGACAATAAGGTAATTTACCTTTTCACTAATTTTTTCATATTTCTGTTTTTTGGTTGCTGCTTTAAGACCTTGCCAAGGAAGTGTTCCGCGATTGAAATACATTAATACGTAGCCGAGAGACTCCATATCGTCCCTTAAACGTGCAGATAGTAGGTTCAAATTCAAGAAAAAAA